TATTACTTAAATTGTTTTTGTCCTCAGATTTGGGTAAATCTGCACAAAATTGTTGCCAAATTGTGTCTTCTTTTTGTTTGACCGCCTCTTCGCTCAACACTTCCTTAACCTCCGGTTCTTTCGCTTCTTCGACGTCTCGACCCTTAGGTTTGCGATGTCTTCGTTTGTGTCCGTCTGACTCATCATAGTCTTCGTCTTCGGCTTCAGAACAGCTCTCATCTGCAATCAAAACAACATATAATTAATATTGAAAAGCATTTATAAATATACTTATTATAAAAGGTTTTATAAAAACCAAGGGATGAAAGGACTGACCGCTTCGTTGGACCACTTCTTTGTCCGGATTGTAGTCCACGTCTTCGTTGTCATCGTCTGAATCTTCTTCATTGGTTTCAAACAAATTATTTAACAAATTATTTGACATTTTGTGCGATTTTTTGGTCAATTAATTCAAACAAATGTGAAATGAAGTCAAAAAATAAATAAATATTGAAATCAATTGTGAATTGAATTGAAAGCAAAAGACAATGAAAAATGTGTTTCAAAATGCATTACGAAATGAATACGTTTTATATGAATGGCCCATAATTTTACACACTTTCTCCCTCTTTGAAATGATCGCAAAATATGTGTACAAAAAAGGCTTAATATTTGCCCCCTTTATGTTGTTTACCACTAAAATTGTTGTGCATTTTGTATGACTTGACCCTCACTTATGAGACAATAAAACTCCTGCTTTGATGTGAGAGTACTATATATATGAATGTGTTGTTTACAAGTCATATGCATTTTCAGTGCATTTAACGGTACGTTCCTATACATATTTTACACTAATGAGTACTATACATGTCTACTATCAGGCTGCAAGACAGTGAAATGTGGAGCACAGGGACCCATAGATGGCTCTCATTAAAAAGTCGAGTCAACNCAGGGACCCATAGATGGCTCTCATTAAAAAGTCGAGTCAACACTTACTGACATAAGCGGGTGTGAGAGTCATGTGATGTTTGAGTTATTGTGAGATAGCGGACAATACATAACTTACGCAAATAATTGTCACACTATTAAATAACAATTACATTAAATTTTAAAATTGATTACTAAAAACAATATGTGTTAACATTAGATTATAAACTTATATAAAACGAGTTTCAAATTTATTAATCAATACAGTAAAACAAAACCCCTATTTTTTTTATTTAAATAAGAAAATAGGGGTTATATATTATCAGCGTAATTTTTGGGCAAACACCAATATCTGTACCATTTTATTAAAACTTCAATAACATTCATACATTTCATGTTATCTTTTTCTACAGACAGATATAATATATTAGATATAATATACATTAGTTTATTATTTGCTATCTCTCAAACATATGTAACATAACTTTAGTGATTGTATTTCTCTCTTAGCTCATAGTTCATTAGTTATTCAGTTTTACAGACATGCATAGATATATTAAAACCAGTAAACATCAGTGGATTACTTACCAACCCTCAAACATATGACAATTAAATTAATTAAACATTAAATAATAATTACAATTTGTTTACATTATATCATATGTTTACACAGTTCAAGAAAAATACACATAAAAAATACATTTCAATTGACACAAGAGTAAACTATTTGCAACAAAAAACACTACTTTTTATCGCCAAAAGTGGCCAGCATTCGGACTGGCGGTGTACAGATGGGCTTGTATTTAAACTTTGGTCACTCGTGGTCGGCCAAGACGGGCGCCAGAACAACAGGTAGACCACAAATCCTTTTTCATTCTCTTTACCGGATTTGTGAACACCGGCCAATAATAGGAATCCCATCAGGTCTTGAAGTTCTTCATAGTTGGTGTCATAAATAAATGTTTGCCATTTCTCAATTAGTATGAGTCACTTATAGTTTTAAAGTGTAGATTT